AATAGAGTGACATGTTTTGCCTTGAAATCAAATTAAAAACTTAAATGATAGCTGAAGTATGAGAAGCTGGAAAATACTATTACCGTCATGTTTGTTGAAATATCCACAACAGAAGAAATTGGGTCTATTTTGGCTTGATAATGAAATTCTGCTTCACAAATAGCTGAGAGCTTCAACAACAATAAAAGAGGTATCAAGCTCAATAAAGGCATTGAATCAATTGGTCATATCAGTCTTACACAACTTAATAACACCAATACCTCATCAAAAATCCATTGGGAAACACCAGAGTTTTGTAAAAGCTTAATGTGCCTGAACAACAACCCTATAATATCTTGCATATGCTCTGTACACCAAGCAAGAAACAATATCAAACCAAATCCAAAAAATATTAGTTACTAACTTAACATCAGTAAGAAAGATTGTTGTGAGTTTACGTAGAAAATTAAAACAAAACAGGGAAGAATACATGAACTCACCATGGCCAGCATCAGTAAGACTAATCGAAACATTGAAGAAAGAATACTCCGTACTCCCTGCTTCGCCAGCATACAATTCCGTTGACCAACCTGTGTAAGCATTAGGAAAAAGTAAGCAAGACTACTAGATGTACAAAACTGCTAATACGCAGGTCTACATCACAATATTAAATAAACAAGCAATGTTTTTAAGGAAAGAATCCTATATATTCGACTAGAATGGAACTCTTTATAAGTAGTTAGGGAACCTCCAAAAAACTTAAATATAATTAAAGTTTCAATCAATTATCTCTTTTCAGGTAGAATATGCTAAAACGTTTATGAACTTGGCCTACCCAAGATTTTTAAGGCATGAAACAAACTTCCGTCACCTCCATGACCAATTAGATCACCAACATACTTGCATGGTGCCTCTTTATAATGATGGATACTAGGAGTTATAGGCCATGAAACAGTAAGCTCGTGACCCTGCTCTATAGGTACAACTTTCACAAGAACCTAAAATCAATGTAAAACACCACCTTATAAACTTTTTTTTACCTTCGTCCCCTGTGAATGTTAAAGCTGAAATAAGGAACAGATACCTGCAAATGGTCCAGAGTACATGGCTGACCAGGAAAACTAGGGATACTCTTGTTGGTGTTTCGAATTTCCTCAAACAAGTCTTCCACTAGACATTGAGTTTTATCAAGGCTTTCTAAAGATATCCAGAGCAAAGAGATGTATAAATGTTACAATGTGTTGATACTTTTTTTTTTTTATATAGTAAAAAAAATTGAGTTTTGGATCCAAAAGCTACCTTTGCCATAAACAACTAGATTCATGAGGTTGGCAGAATAGTGTTCATCATAGAATTTAATTAGTTCACTCCTTATATCTATTCCTTTTGCTTCGGGTCGAACATGGAGAGTATCCATGTTCCCTAAGCAAAACATATCACTTTATCATTGGGAAGGATCACTGACTTTTCATATGCATCACAACACCAAATCTCGTTACATGAACACCAATTATGAATAGGTAGAACATTTACCTGTGTTAAATTTGTGATATGGATGGTCTTCTCTAGTTAGATGCTTCTGTAACTGTGCCAATGAAAAACAAAGACAAAACTCAAGTTAGATGCTAAATATATATCAACAAACCTGTGGTTTGTCAAATGCATCCTTCATTGTTAATAACTAAATAGATACCTGGAACATACGACCAGAATCAGTCAACAAGTTTTTTTTATTCTCTGCAAAAGAGAGAATTCATTAGAATTTTGTTACTCCAACATGAAAGGGATCGATGGAGAAAGTAAAATAAATAAAAAGCTAACCAGAGTCGACAGCCTTGATCTCCCTCATGGTGGCATCAGCTGACATGAGTGGTTTGATAAAGAACTGTGCAAATCTGGTTAGTC